CAGTCCTTCTCTCGACCCTGCGGACCCAGTCCTTCTCTCGACCCTGCAGACCCAGTCCTTCTCTCGACCCTGCAGACCCAGTTCTTCTCTTGACCCTGCAGACCCACGTCTACAAGTCTTTAGACTCGGGGGCAAGTGGACCACGGAGCTGATCTGCACCAACAGCTGCAGGGAGGCCTGCGTCTTCCAGACGAACCCCTGAGGAAAATAAAACGAGTTCTGGAGGTTTGAGACTGAAGAGGCAGCGCTGCCCTCGTGCGCTCCACACTTTGTGACTGGTTGAAAGACTTGTGGGCGACTGGTAAAGCCCCAGTCAGAACCGTGTCTCATGTTGGTGCTGCTGAACAAAGACTTAAATCCAGACATGAGAGCAGAAAGCAACAGTTTTGTTGGTCCCAGGATTATTGTTGTTGATTGTTGTTGTTGCAGTTAGTCGTCCTGGACTGGTAATCTTGTAGAAGTTTAACTGGGATCCAGTTGAGGACGGACTTAAGTTGTTCAAAGCTTTTCTCCTGTTTGAGGAGAAGACTCCTCTTACCAGACAAAGGTTCATCCTAACTGGTACCAGGTCGGATCCTCCTCTTCTGAACTGGTTTAATTCTTTGAAGGGTTCAACGAGGTGATGGAAACGTTCCTCAGAGGTTCTGGTCACAGCTGCTGCAGATGTGTCAGCTGGACATCCATGATGAGAGTCTCCTGTTCCACCACAACCCACTGGATTAAGATCTGGTGACGGCTGGATCCAGTTAATCCAAACCCAGCAGAGCAATGTTTCTCCAGTCTCTTGCTGTCCAGTGTTGATGGGACTGTAGGTGTTAGCTGACAGGAGGGGTGATGGGTGTGGTCCAGTCCATCAGCTTCAACTGTTCAGGTTTCCTGCAGACCTGGAGCTCCTGACCTCTGACCTCAACAAGACATTTTATAACCACTCACTGGATAGTTTGTCTTTTTTGGACCATTGTGCAGACTCAGCTGAAACACTCGTCACTGAGATGTCCTCTTCTGTGAGATGGTTGGTAGATCAGCTGGTCTCGTTTCTCAAAAAGAATTTTATTTTTTAACACGACTACTTTTAGCAGCTTCATGCGACTCCACATCCTCATCCCTCTGACATTGAAGCTCCACAAAGTTCAAAACGTCATTTATTAAAGTTCACGCAGGTTTTATTTCCTTGACTACGTCGCCATCTAGTGGTGGATTTTGATACGACAGCTTGTGAAATTTGTATAAATTTTATTTTGTCATTAAAGAACTCGAGTTCATTGAACATGGACAAATTAATTTACACTCGTGAAGTTCAGAGGAGAAAGAACTCAAACCAGTTGTGTCAAATGGTTTGAGTTTCAGATGTGAGAGGAGAAAACCACCAAGATCTTAAAATTATATAAAAAATACAAACATGTAATGTAAAGAGGTCGCCCCAGAGCACCTGAAGGCAGCGCAGCAAATGTCCCCCGGGGGTTCAAACCAACACATAAATTAAGAACCGAACCAACCGAGCCACATGGCCCCGTTTACACACGGTGCTTGAACTGGAAATCAGACTGGAGGAAAACCATAATGAACAGTAAGACCAATGAGAACAATAATTAAAACGTGCGTCTCAGCAGCGCGTCCTTCACGTGTGGCGTCAACGTGTCCTCTGGAGACGTCTCCCAGCTCTAAAGCGTCCATGAAGCTGTTGGTCTGACGGGAAACCGTGCGAGGCCTTCACAGAACAAACAGCTGCTCCTTACGAGACGATTCAAAAATAAAGACCAACTGGACTCGACATCCTGAGAAGACTCTGAAATTATAAATACCCCCGAGCCGGGTCTGGGAGGAGACCGGTTCTGGCCCGACGTGTGCGTTGACATCAGTCCAGGGGTTCAGTATCCTTGTAGTCCGTTGTACACGTTCTGAATGGAGCCCTGCTTCAGGAGACTCCGGATACCTGAAACCAAAAACAACCAGAGTTCAGTCGACACGTGAACACAGGAGTCTGGACCAGGGGGTCCAGTCCTGGTCCAACAAAGCCACGGTCCTGCAGGTCTTAGTGGTTTCCCTGCTCTTCAGCAGGTCTTCAAGTTCTGCAGGATCCTGTTAATCACTCGTTCACTGAACCCAGGTGAGGCAGAGAAACACCAAAACGTGCAGGAAGGTGGCCCTGAAGGGCCAGGACTGAGGGTCACTGGTCTTTGAGGCCCTCAGGGGCCACTGCATTAAAACCAGGTCTGGTTCTGTTCTGGGCTCAGGAACACGTCCATGGATCAACTGTTCTGGGGTCGGACGGATCCAAATTTAAGGTCCTTTATGAAAACTAGACTCCACGTTCTCCGTGCTAAAGATGAGAGGGACCATCCAGCCTGTTGTCAGATCACAGCTCAGTGCCGGCCTCTCTGATGGTATGGGGGTGCATTAGTGCCTTTGGCATGGGCAGCTTACACGTCTGGAAAGGCTCCATCAATGCAGAAAACTATCTACAGGTTTTAAAACATCGGCATCAGCAAGACGATGCTGAACGAAGATCTGGATCTGATACAGAACCATGACCCAACAGGACCAGAACTGATCCGCACGAGTCCAGACCGATCACCAGATGAAAACATTTAGCTTCTCTGTAAACAAAACATCTGACAAGGAGTCAGGACTATTGAACAGTTCAAATCCCTCCAACATGTGGTCTCCTCAGGACCTCCTGAACCTCCATCATGTGGTCTCCT